AAAAAAAAAAAAAAAAAACCAAAAGAACGACTTGATTGATATAAGCATATATCCATAATAATATGCACCTGAGCTGTACTTCGAGCAATCCCATCCCACTTATTGTACGTGCCTCTACTATTCTCCGTCCACTCACCATAGTCCATACTGTAAAATTTAAGCCAAATATGCAAAAACAAATAAATTCAACAGAACAAGCCTCGTTAGAAAATACTGTTTGTTTACATGTGAAGTAAGAGTTAGGGGGAAGAGGAGCTCGATACAGTACCCGACCACAAAAAAGGCATAACCACTCATGTGATAAGTTTGAACCTTCGTATCATTGTTCTGCAATATGATTTCCATAAATCCCTTATAGGTACCGTTGATGATCGATGTATCCATTCGTGGTTGGCCCGTGAGGGGGCGGGTCGGGAAATCGAGCTTGTATACTCCCCTCACGTTATGTTGATCAGCGAGCCTGATCGGTGTGGAAGGGTTAACAAAGGAAATCCCGCTAAGTGTAGTTCTCCGCCTCCCATTAACCATCTCCGGGGGTTTGTTCCTCAGAACATAAACCTCAGTCACGTTGATCGAGCCGTATCTGAATGAGCCTTGAGGATTCGGGCGGGCCCCACTAGCGGTCACATTCCACCTGTTGGGTGCGCAGAAGAATTAGACTATTTTGTGGATGAAGGAAGAACAAACTTGATGCTGTGTTGTGTGGAATGTAACAATAATTGACTAAACACATTGTTTTGAGAAGAAAAGAAGTGGTCTATCTTATCTTCTATTCATGTTGCTATCAAGTTCAATAATTTATAATGTCTCTCTCTCAGGTTTCAAATTTTCTCCAGCTAGTTTACATTATTTTCTATTGATATATAACAAAATCACTACAAGATTGGACAACTACTAGACCAAGAGCGTAGTTTTGCGAAAACTTCAGCTTTTAGTGCAAACATTTATATTGCAGGCTTGCAGCAGAAGCAAAATAGATGAGAATCATAACTCTAGTAATTTTTGCAAAAAATAGTGAAGCTGAGATTTCGTGAACTTTTCCAACGAAAGATTACGACTCTCTCTCTCTCTCTCTCTCTCTCTCTCTCGGGCAAACACTACCCTAGGAAACCTATAATAGATTGCAAAGCATATTTATGAAAGATATAGAATCTGAAAGGAGAAGCACACCTGATAGATCTCGCCTGGTTCATCGAGAAAGTCTTATCAAATTGATCTTGCGGTCCTTCCGGGAGAGGACCGTGTGCGGGCCCTCTTGAATTGGTATAATGTAAGATGCCAACACCAGTGACTCTCTGCCACGTGGTCTCGTTCACGAACCTGGGACTGGCAACTATGTAGTAATCACTGCTCGCATTTTGATCCATGGTCACCAGGAAGGAGTAAGTTTGACCAACGTGAATGTCTAAGCTCGTATAGTTCTGCTGCACGGTATACGAGCCCTCTGACTCTGCCAGAAGCAAGTTGTGGTTTTGAATCCTGAAGTTGAGACTAGTAGAAATCCCGACATTGCTTACACGAATTCGGTAAGTCCTGCCTGTGGATATATCATAGCATTAGCTACCTTCAGCCAAATGACAATTTTAAGTGAAACAGGTGAAAGCAAATAACAAAACAAGGAATTTAGTTACTATCTCTCATTCACAGCATACCTTCTGCATGAATTTGGGTCATGACTTTGGAGACTTTATAAAGCATAATGAAGCATAGATACGTAAACCAAATATCAATACTATAGGCGTGAGTTGTGAAAATATCAATACTATAGGCGTGAGTTGTGAAGTTCACAAATCTATCGGATCTTTCTATATCCTATATTAAAAATCCTCTTATCAGGAAAATTTTACTTACCATGATTACTGCTTGGGTGTTTTCTTGACTTTGATGTTACAGATATAAAATATTATATGAAATAGTTTAACCATACATCAGCTCAAGATATCTCTCTAGATACTACGATTAGCATAAAGTTTGATCAAAAGATAACAATGTTGACTTAACCTCACATACATGTCAAGACACTACAGTGTTAAATAAATCACAACTCGTGTCACTCACCTGGGTGGACTGTGATCGTTTCATGGTCAATGCCAGCGGGGACAAGGGTGTCGTTATACCTAAACGGCCCTCTTCCATTAATCAGAACCCCATCCGGCATGCCGAGATCTCTCCCAGAATCGAGGATTCTCCTCAATGCCTAAACATACAAAATCAAAAATCAAGACTAATAAGCTTGAAGACTAAAACATCTCCCTGAACTTGAACTACTGGTAACCAGCAACGAGCACTCACCGTGTGGTTCTGGGTGTACCAATCTCCGATTAGAATCGTGATATCCCCATAAGGGGTGTCAAAAGGAATAGGAATAATCGGTCGGTTATTGACGATGAAGGAACCGAAACCTCCGGATGCTCTCTGGAAATGGAGGGAAGGGAAATAAAAGAAACTCCCAATCTGGTCCTTGACCTGAAATTGGTAAGTCCAGTTCCACCTGGAAGGAATCGGACAATTTGTGCCGAGAACACCATCTTGCCATGAACACCTCCTCTGCTGTATCCCAGACCTTCACTCAAAAACAAACCATAAACTAAATATTGTCATTTTTCCAAACAAATTACAAGACTCTTATTCACAAACAACCAATTAATGAAAGATTGTAAAGAATATGGTACCAATGGAGCAAGAGGCCTTCGTCTAATCTGTTCCTCACATTGATAACAACATTGTTGTTAGTGGTCACGTTGATGGTGGGGCCTGGAAACTGGCCATTGATAGCAATCACCTGAAAGTGCTCACAGCATTCCAGTTTTAATTTCGAGACATATTATAAACTCCAAACAACTGGCACATGAAAATAGGGTTCAATGCTGAATTATTGGTCTAAAAACGGAACTTCCATTGCTTAACACAACGTCTGAATCTACAGCCAACATTTCAAGAAAAAAAAAATAAAAATAAAAATCGAATCTTTACACCACATTACCAGATCTGAAGCTAAAGATTCAAACTTTAAGAAATCTAAAGCGAACCCCATCAGCTAAAAGCAAATTCTAAGCAGGCCCGTATGACCAAACGAGAAAAAGATAGCCGAATTCATAAAGTCGAGACAAAAATTTGCAGAATCTTACAAAAATTAGATGCAAAACAAACCAAGAAAAAAAAGGGAAAAAGGAAACATACCTGCTGGGGGACACCAAGTGGAGAAGCAGTAATGTATGAGACCACAAACTCATAGTTAACAAAAGGGTCATCAGCAGAAGAAGAGCCCAGAAGCAAGCAAATGTGGATAACCAAGACCCAGAAGAATCTTGAACCAGCCATATCCAGTAAACCACAAGATTTCACAAAAAAATCAATAGAAAGAGTCAAAAGCCAAAGCACAAGAAAATTTTCCCTTTCTTTTTCTTTGCTCTGTTTACATTATCGGAGGAGGAGATAGAGGAAGAAAGTAACAGGAAAAAATAGACAGCAATAAGTATACGAGCGTGTGAGTCCAAAAGGGTAGTAGTAGTGAGATAACAACGGCTCTAATTTGTAGTGCTTACTGCTTGCTGCTAGTGGAATTTTTATTAATGTGTTTGTTGGGAGGGGTAAATGTGTATGGGTAAGCGTTGTAGGGTTTGGACACTAGGATTTCTTGTATGCTTTTATCGGTTGCAGCAGGTGCCCACTGCCCACACTATATATATGACTTTTGAGCATGCAAGAAAAGTAATTATAATAAGCACAGTTGGTTCAACCATAGAAAATAAATCAAATAATGCCAGTGTGTGATGAGTGATGACTGAAGATTTGTGTGTGTGTGTGTGTGTGAGAGAGAGAGAGAGAGAGAGATAGAGAGAGAGAGAGAGAAGGAGAGTATCTTCCTTCACACAGTGGGGTGTATTGACAATTTGACAGCCAATAGCCAGTTCATATACGCTTGAATCCACGAGTATTATTTCCTTTAATTGATCAGAAAATGCTGTGTCTCCAGCACTAGGGCTGGCACGGTTCGGATACTCGAGTTTTTTGAGGTATTTGTTAATCGAATCGAACCGAGCAAATATTCGAACTTGTAACCGAAACCGAACCGAAAATCTCTGTTAACCGAATTTTCGGTTAACTGAAAAATATCCTACTATTTGCGAATTAACCGAACCGAACCGAACCGAGCAAACCTAACACAGAGTTAGGTTTGCTCGGTTCGGTACGGTTGATTCGCGAATAGTCATACCAACAGATTAGTTTAATATATATAAATATAATATATAATATAAAATATAATATAGATTATATAAATTTTAATATAATATACGATTTGGTTTGGTTCGGTTAACCGGGGTAAAAAAATCCTAGAAACCGTAATCGAAGCGAACCGAGCAAATACTTCCTTTGAGGTATTTGTAATCGAATCGAGTACCCCGGTTAACCGAAAATTTGGTTCGATTTCGATTCGAATCTACGATTTAGCGGTTCGATTTGAATTTTTTGCCCAGTCCTATCCACCACCGTATGATTCTCTTTTATTGCAATTATTGTTTGTGCGATGGGTGTAATGTGGAACAGGATAAGGTTGGAGGCTTGGAGCTTATTTCCAAGGTAAAGGCCCCGTTTGGAAGATAGTGGATTGAGGATAAATTAGCGGATTGGACTTAATTGAGAGGTTTGACCCGTCAAATCCGCTATTGAGCTTGTTTGGTAAATAGCTTATTTGATAAGCTTTTTAGGCCCAAAACTCTAATTCAGAAAAAGCTCAATAGAGGAGCTTTTTGGGGATAGAGGATTCACAATCTACAATTTTAATTTAAAACTTTTTAATTTGCATTATGATATAGGATATTATACTGGACCCGATTTATAGATAAAGCGGATACATATTGGAGGATGAGCCCACTAAGACATCTAAGCCCAACTTGGGCCCAAAAGGTACACTCCCCTATAAAAGGGGGCCAAGGTACCACACTCACTCATTCTCTCTATTCATTACATCACTACATTTTCTCTCTTAAGCTGAGCACTGACTTAGGCATCGGAGGCCCGACGCCGGGGCCCCCCCGGCGTTGGGTTCTGCAGGTACGGAGGCCGGTTCGAGTTGAAGGAGCCCGGGTGAATCTTATTCACTTCATTGGCGCCGTCTGTGGGACCCGTAAAAAAGTCAAGCGGAGTCCCGACTGAAAAAATTGAAAAACCTCCTTCTTCTCCACCGGTCGCCGCCACCGCCGGCCGCCACCTCCGCCGCCGGCCGCCGGAAAACGTGCTCCGATCTGAGAATGGTTGGCATCATCGGATAGATCTTCTCAAGGTGAATCTACCCTTAAAATTTCATGCAAAAATTCATCCGGGAAGGCCATCGATTTCGCGGTCAAAGGTTCCAGATCTACAAAAATTTTGGTCAAAATCGGACATTTAAACGCATTTTCCCGACGATCCGTGAGGGGTACGAAAAATCCGAGGGTACCACTGGAATCTTCTCGACGAGGCGAAGCTCCAGAATGTGACATTGCCCGCACGCCGCCGTCTGCCACCGTCGGCGCCGCCGCCTCCGCCGTCGGCCGCCGTCAAAAGTTATCCGATCGGAAAAATTCTTACATCATTGCGAAGCCCTCCTCATGCTCTTTCTATCCTTAAAATTTGGAGCAGAAATTCCTATGGGAAGGGCATCAATTTGTCGGTCAAAGTTGTTGGATCTAACAAGAATTTGGTCAAAATTCAATCATTTTCTATATTTTCCAGTCGATTTCCGTCGTACCACTTCGAACCAACACCACCATCAGATTCCCCTCGTTGAGACGCGTCCTCGGCTGGTCGCTCTCGCTGGAGTCGGCGAGTTCGGTCGACGGTATTTTTCCGGCGAGCTGCTCCTGTTCTCGCTCTTCCCTCAGCTCTGTACAGGTCCAGCTGTCCAGGTTTCTCTCTCACGGGCCCAGCGCCCTCCAACCCAACAAAATGGCCGAGCCCAGCGACAAGGCCCAGCGAGCGGCCCAACATAAAAACCCAGCGACGAACTTCCTCAGCCCAACAGCCCAGCGCGCGGGCCAGGTCCGGCCCGCGAAGCCCGCTCACCCACATCCCCAGCCCGCGAGAGCCCGGTGTTAGCCCGCTTCAGGCCTGCGACTCCCAGCCCATGACTAGCGCGCCCCACGGCCCATTTTTGTGGCCCAAAATTCTCCCAGCGGTCCAGCAAGCTTGGCAGCAGCCCAATGCAACCCCCAACAGCCACTCAACAGCCCAAACTGCGCCCAAACCATCTAAAGGTGGTCCAAACCTGTTCAACTTGGCCCAACAGCCCCATTTTGTGACCAATACTAACTTGGGATGATTTAACACGGACGGGGAGGTAAATTTAAGTAGCATTCTCATGATGAAGGTATGGAGCGGATTTAAATTTTGACTTTGAGGATTTTTAAATTGGTAATAATGATGGATAAATTTATAATTTGCTCGTGGAAATATTGGTTTGCTCGTGATGATATTATTTGTGGAGCCATATTTGACTTACTCGTGGAATTATTTGGATTATTCGTGGAGAATTGCATGATTTATTCGTGGATAACTTGATTTACTCGTGGAATTATTTGGATTATTCGCGTAGAATTGCATGATTTATTCGTGGATAACTTGATTTACTCGTGGAATTATTTGGATTATTCGTGGAGAATTGCATGATTTATTCGTGGATAACTTGAATTACTCGTGGATATATTTGATTGGTTCGTGGTGATATTTGGCTTGTTCGAGGTGATACTTGATTTGTTCGAGGACACACTACTTTATTTATTCGTGGATATATTCAATTTGTTCGTGCAAAATTATGCGTGGAAATATTTGATACGTTTGTGGAATTATGCGATTTGTTCGAGGAGATATGGTCTTGCTCGAGGGCGTGGATTATATTTATATAATTGGATATCTTGATACACTTAGACCATTTATTTGGATTTTCGTGTGGAAATGTGGCATTATGTCAAATTGATTATTCATAATCTTTAAACATGTCATTGCTCGAGCATGTCTTAAGTCGAGGAGATGGTGATATTTATACTTGATCTCTTGCTCTTCTTGCGTGGAACATTGCAAAACGAATGACTTGAATATAATATGGATGATGATATATCTCTAAATTCTTGTCGAGGAAATAACGAAATAACCCGAGACTTGGCGAGCTATGGCGGAGGAGTTGTTAAGTGTCAAGGACAAAATGGACGAGCATGGATCTATACAAGAAGGGTGATAATGAAGCACGAGCATGGATGTTGTCGATCACCGGTGACAATCTCAAAGGCAAAAATCATTCTCTTTTGGAAAGGTAAGACAATTTGGAGCGGTATTCTCGATCGTCAGGTACAAAACTATTCTCAACTCTTGATTTGGTGGTCGAGTTTGATCGACACATATGAATGTTTGAATATTTTTGGCGAAATTGATGGCATGGTGAGGTACATGAGCATGGTTGGGATTATTATTTGGATGACTAACAAAACGACCAGGTGTTATTATATCTTGTTATGTTCGATCTTTTCCTTTTCGACCTCAGTGGCAGGTCGAGGAATTCGAGCACAGGCCATCATGCAAAACCTGGAAAGGGAGGTCGAATAAATTGAATATTTCCTATTATTCGAATACATTGAATATTTCCTATTATTATCTCTTTCGATGTAATTATACAATTGAGACACTAACGGA